AAGACATCAAGGTGCCAAGAGCCAGATCATGTGCCAGACAGCAGGACAGGATGAGGCAGAAAGGGCAGACATTGTCTAGGGATGATGGGATAAAGCCAATGTGAAAGATGGCAATGCCACATGCTAACATCGACAGTTCAGAACTGTCGATGACAAGAGGTCACAGAAGAAAGCTATGAAACCCCATAGCTGGAAGAGGTGCCTCATGGTCCTTTCAGCTGTTTACCAGCACTTTAGGGTGGGAAACAACAGCAGGGGTCTTACATGTTGAGCTGGGCTGTGGTCTTGCTGTTAAGTCAGCTAACATCAATGGGGTCAAGGGCAAGCCTCCTAGGTTTCTGGGCCACAGCTATTCTGAGAAATCCAGAGACGAGGAGCCTCTGGTATGACACATGCTCTGCTGAAGGCCCCCAGACCTCCTAAAGAGAACATGTAGTGGATAGACAGCAAGAAGTCCAGCTAAGAAATAAAGAAATGGAACACAAGAGGCAAAGTGTGCAGGGCTCCCTGACTTAACTCTCTAATGGTCTCTATGGTTCAAATAAAAAAAGAGGAAATGTAAGCCACAAAAAATTATTTTTAAAGAAGATGCTTCCACCTAGATATGATCTATCACAACCTCCCAAACATTAAAAAAATACTTAAAACTAAACTTTCTGAAAGGTGAGAGACAAGCATAGTACGTACTTTAGATATAAAAACAAACTCTAATATCATCTGTAGATATTTAAAGCTTAAGAAACCACAGTATATTTGACAACTACAGAAGAAAGTCTGACAGGGTGGAGACCGACCTGAGCAATTGCTGTGTCCCCACATCTTAGATAAATATTATGAAATAAATGAGATGTGAGTTCCTAGAGCAACAATTAAAAAATATAGTGCAGGAAAGTGTAACTATGGCCTCACTAGAGAAATTAAAAGGAATTTTTGAGTATTTAGTTTAAAAAGCACAGGATAAGAGAAACAGAAGAACAAAAATAGTGGTGACAAATAAAATCATAAAAACATACTATATGTAAGCCAGACAGTTCCAATAATTATATCAATCACAAATCAAATGAACAGTCCAATTTAAAAGGCAGAATTTGTAAAATAGTTCTTTTAAAAGCAAGATCTCACTATATACTATCTTCATGATATTTATTTTTAATGTGAAGGGCAGAATGAAAATAAATAAATAAAATATATGCCATTTAACAATAGCATAAATAGAGGACAGTGATTATGTTGATCCCAGAGAAAATAAAAGTTAAAATGAGAGTATTAGCAGAGATGGAAAAGGCATTTCTTAATAATGGGATCTATTCATCCTAAGAATATAACAGTGAGAAAGGTGTGTGCCTGAATTGCAGACCTCCAAGAGCAAGATACACATAGTGGCAGACTTGTGGGAAGAAATGACAACTCCACAATCACATTAGAGTTTGAACACAACTGTCTCAGTATAGATGACCAACTCTATCTCCAAATCAGCAAAGACACAGATATGAACAGCAACAAGATGTTTCTTCTCTTCTCTTGCTGTGACAAAAAACGAACTAAAACTTACTGAAGGGTTTGTTTTGGTTGAGTTTGTGGCTACACAGTTTATCCTGATAGGGAATGCATGGTGCTGGGAGCATGAGACAAATGGTCACATTGCATCCACAGTCAGGAAACAGAGAGGTGAATGCTGGGGCTTGCTAATTTTTTGCCTTTCATCCTCACAAACCAAGAGATGGTTATCTCTAATGAGATGTTAGTAAATGAAATTCAGTGATACATGAAAAGGTTGAACCAACATATTCACTTGAGATTTGTCTGAGTTATGGTTTAATATTTGAAAACCAAACAATGTCATTCTCAAATGAGAGACACAGTGTAACTATTTCAATGGAGACACACAAACACACACACACACACACACACACACACACACACACACACACACACACACACACACACACAATGTGGCAATTCAACAAGTAGACATGACAAACCCGGCCACAGAGTTTCAAACTATGGACACTGACCTTGGGTAAATGGCTCTGCTGAGAGGTTCCAGCCTCAGGACAAAGCTGCCTCTAGCAAACAGGAGTCTGGGCAAGGCTACTGCTACCTCTGCTTAGGACTATTACCTCTATGGAGAGTCATGGTAGCACGATCAGGCTGCAATCACCTTAGGGCAGTCAGATAGCACTGAAAAATCTACCCTAACAAGAAGCCTCTAACCATCTAAAGTCTGATGTCCACACAGGTAACCATTCCCTTAGAAACATCCTCAAAGGTGCCACTTTGAGGAGACCTGACCACTCTTCTTTCAACAGTCTACAAAAAACAACTACCCATTCTCTGGAAACTGACAGCTTCAACCCTTCTAGTATCTCTCATCAAATCCTTCTTTTCCATCAGTCTGGTCTTTGGTGAATTCACTCACAGGCCCTGTGACATGGGCCTGTCATAGCACTATGCCATTCAGGAAGGGGATACTTGATTTGGTAAAAGAATTCTCAGGAAAACTTAGAGATGACTTCATCTTCAAAGGAAGCAGCAGCCTCTTCCCCACTAAGCTCAGGAACAAAGCCAGGGAAGGGAGGTGGCTCTGTAGTTACAGCACCACATAGAGCTAACATGAGGACTGGAGTTGGGATCCCCAGAACCCCTGAAAAATCTAGGTGGGCATGGTGACCCAGTATTTCTAGCACTCAAAACGTGGAGACGTGGGATCTCCAGAGCAAGTTGACTGTCACATTACACTTATATAGATGAACTCTGAGTTCAACTGAGAGACCCTGCCCCAGTGAATAAGTCAAGTGATTGAGGAAGACTCCCGATGGCAGCAACCTCGGGGCTTTACATACGTGTGGAAACACATGCACCCACACACATGGATGCTCACCACATGCACATACATACCATGAAAAAAGGAAAACCTCAAGGACAAAACAGAACTGCCCATCCTCGTGATTTCTCAACTCATAATGGAGAATTTAGTCATTTCAATAAAGCAAGAACGCTACAAGCACTAGACAGGAGACATAGGTAAAACTACCTGTCCTGGTTAGATGTCTGTTACTGTGATGAAACACTGACCAAAACCAACGTGGGACTGAAAGGGCTTATTTCAGCCTAGAGGTTACAGTCTAAGAGAAGTCATTCAGAGAAGTCAGGGAAAAAACCTGGAGGCTGGAACTGATGCAGAGACCCTGGCTGCTTACTGGCTTGCTGTCTTATAGAACCCAGGACCACCTTCTTAGGGATTATGCCACCCACAGTGGACTGGGACTTGCCACATCAATCAAGACGATGTTCATGGGCCAATCTGATGGATATAATCCCTCTATCGACTTCTGTCTTCTCAGGTGACTCCAATTTGTGTCAAATTGACAAACACTGACCAGGACATACAGCTCTGAGCAGATGAAAGATTTTCTGATAAAATCTCCTGGAAGCTACACACCAGCTTTCACAATTAACTATTTAAGGAGTAGGGTTTTCGGGGCAGCATTTGCACTGAATGCTCAGCAACACTCTTGAGCCAACTGCCTTCTGGCAATGGTGACTCACAGGGATCTCCTGTTTACCCAGAGATGCTATGTAAGGATGAGTCCCTTCTATAAACACTGGCTATCTGCCAGTACACTGGGCCCCTCTGACTCAAAGAGGCCAGGGTCTGTTCAGTTAACAAGTAGTACAATTCATTGGACAATACAAATACCTAACACTATTACACATGTGTACTAAAGAGCTTGCAAATGGGGTGTGTAAAGGTAGGCTGCCCTTGCTGCCCCAGGATGCCTGTAGTTGTGATGAAACCTGTAGAACTCAGCATCAAATCATTAACATCATTAACACTGCTAAGTGAATTGATCTTCAACACTGCATTGTGTGAGAAGATCCATTGGGGACTCACAAAAAAAAGCAGAAACCTCCAGAAAAGTCTCGTAGGAGTAGGGCCTGTGTCTCAGGAATGGGGTTTCCACTGAGCATCCTGGTCCACACATCTGTCCATTTATACCATTGCATGATGAGTTCCTGCTTCATCAAGGCCACGTTTCACCAGTGAAATGTCTGTCAGTACCTGGCACACCCCAAGGACACTGTGACTCCAAACTTTATTTCTGCCCTCCTCTACAAAGAGCTTACTTCTCAATCACAAGCTGAAAATGAAGAATGCTTATTCTCCCAGCATCCTCAGCAACTAGAAGTAGTCACACCCCTTCCTATACCCATCCCCACTTCCTGTCTTTCCAGAAGTGAAAAAAGTTCTCACCACCTGCTCTTGCCACCATGGTGTATAAGACGATGTGACTGTGAGCTGAACCTCCAGAAACCATGAGCCAAAATAAGTCTTTTTTCTTTTAGTTTTTTATATCAGTCATTCTGTCTCAGCAGTAAGAAAAGTAACATACAATTGCTAGTTACTGGGTCTAAGATTTGAGTCTAAATCACTTCATTCAGAAAAAGTAAATAATAGCATTTGAGTGTAACAGAGTGACTGCCTTCTCAAAGGTACTTAGAACAAGTTAAGAGAAGTTTCTATGGGAACAGATAGTTTGCTAGGGGAGCCTCTTTTCCCCTAAAAACCTTACCCTCTCCTAAATATTATGGCCTTTATTCCCAAAGAGTCAAGAATCACAAATGTTAATTTTTTAAAAACCTAATGTCCAAAAGCCAGAAAGAGCCATCTCACGTAAAGTTTGGAGGAGCAGGATCCACTCTCCTCACTTAGGTTCTCAAGGAAGACCTGGCATCAGCAGTGTTAGAGCAATTGCCACTGGGAATCACCTAAGCAGACTTTGCGGTTAATTCCATTTTCAGAGTAAAATATACCAGAGTCCAAGTAAACCATTTAGGCTTCCTTTCATGACTCAGATTTACTGAATAGAAAGCTTCTGTCAACAGGAAATGCCCAGCGGTCAGCACAAAAGCAGAGCCCCAGAACACACACATGCTCAATCCCCAGCATCCAGATACCCACATTTCATGTTTTGTTTTAAAAAGAAGGTTGTTCTTACCTTCCCAAAACTCCCTTTACCAATGGCCCGCAGGATCTGGAAGTGGTCAAAGTTGACTGTAAAAAAAGCAGAAAGTGGTAGTCAGGTCAGGCTTGCCTCTCGGACATGGTGTCCACGTACTACCCACTTGTTCTGCTGGCTTCTGTCCACTGGTGTTAACCATCTCATATCAGCACCTGGCCACTGAGGCACAGCCCAATGAATGACATCTCATTTTCTCCCAAACACAGTTAAAATCTCACCATGGGTGCATAGGAGGAGACATCTTGTAGGGACCAAGGTAGGTGACAACAGAAAAGTTCAGCTATTTGGATTTCATATTCAAATATTCAATATTTTTTCCTTCTCCAGGCAGAGCTGTCCCCACTATAGACCCCTCCCTCTGGTGTACCCAGTGCTCTCTCAGTCAGACCACAGCTTGCTTGTACCTGCTGTTGCAGTGTTACAGTCTTCTCCTTCCACACAGTGTGTCTAATGCCTAGCATCAAGGCTATTGCAAGCTACTGACTCATACCACCCGCCTGTTCTCAATCTGAGTCACACCATCCCTTGCCCCCTTCAGCTGCCTCTGTGCCTTTCCCCTCCAGCCTCACTGACTGGACTCTACCCCAATCTCTACGTCAAAGCAAGTCAGCAATTTGTGGCCATACTGCTAACTGTCATGAACATCCTCTACCTTCTGTGCCCCTGATCCCTATCTCCTTTTGCTTCTGATTTTCAGGCAGGGTCTCATGTAACCCAGACTTCCTCTTTACTCTACCTTTGGAGGGTTGATATTACTGACACAGTGCCAAGTTTGTGCATCACTGAAGATTGAGTCAAGGGCTTTGTGCATATTAGGCAAGCACTCTACCAACTGAGCTACACCCCCAGGTTCCCTTTCTCCTTTCAAAAATACCTACTAGGCTTCTATGGCAGAGCCCACTCTCAAATGCCCCTTCAGTGGTTTCTGTGTGCTCAGATTTCCCCTCCCAGGGGTTAGACACTGGAATCTGTCATCTTTCTGTCATGCAACTACTTTCATGGCCTCTAGAGGCTTCAGTGACATGCCAGAGCCTGACAAAAGTATCCCTGGCCTTTAGGTAGTTTGAACTGATGCCTACTGCCAGAATACTCTTTTCAAACCCACCCTGAACTTCATGGATTCAACAGACCCAAAGCAGAGTAGTGCCTCCTTTCTGCTGACCATATTTTCAGTAGGTCCAGCAGACCCCAGACTGGGAGCATCAACCTTCTCAAAATCAAGGATGCATCTATGGCTCCTTTCCCTCCCAACCCCACATTTAGTCCTTTATCAGCATGGGTCTATTTTTACTCTTTCTCTTCGCTTTCATCTGCCCATCCAGAGGCCCCTTTGATTTCTACCTTCTTCTGCCACCTGATGTCTAGAGTGTCCTCTCAACCTCCCAACCCTCCCCTGGGGCAAATGTCAAAATGGTAATAATCATGTATGTTCACTGTTTACTCCCTTGTCCTGACCCCTCTGTCTTCAACCATGGAGAACATACTCCTCCCTGAACCGTATGGCCCAAGCCATGCTCCTGTCCTGTCACCTCACACCTCCCACACCCACCTTCATGCTGCAGACACAAGTCCCTTCCTTCCTAGTAAAGCTGTCCCTTTGCCATCTGATACTCTTCTCCTAGTGTCCACTTGCCACCTTGCTGTATCCTTCTGTGTCCTGCGAGGGGGCCAGGCCGAACTTCCTGCTAAGTGTGCAGTCTTGTAGCATGGTAACTTCCACTGAACACACCATTCTGGATAGCTCAATTTTGATCATTTTTCTTTCCTAGGCTCTGAGTTACCTAGGGTCAAAGGTCATGATTATTCTATTTGCAGTTACTCCCTTAGCACCTTGACCTTGCTTAGCACACTGCGTTACTCCATAACTACTCATTAACTGAAGGGATGATTGAGTGAGCTAATCTCCATATTCATGTTGCCAAATGCATAATAAGTCTTTGGTAAATATTTTTGCATTTGACTGAATTGCAGCCAGTTCTCAATAACTAGGAAAGACATGCTATTTGCGAAGATGAAGGGGATTGATTAGCTCACTGCATAATTTTAGTTGGGGTGTGGGGAAGTCAATGAACACAATTAGTTCCTTGTATATTAGACTTTGCGAAGTCAAAGCCAGAATCCTGTGAGCTGTCAAACCCCTGACGTGCTTAGAATAGAGAGGCTGGGTTAACAGTTAACTAGCAAAATGTCCCTTCTTTAACCCAGCTCTGTTTACTTTCAGAGTAACTTACTGGAACCAAAAATTCTTTATTTCTCCCCTTAGCCACTCACTAAAGGTTGGGGGAGAAGAAAGGAATGAACTTGGGCCACAGTGCAGGTGGCTGTCATGTGCTGGGATGTGTGCATAGCTTAACAATAACCTCCATGGTTCAGAAAGTAAATGTCACTGCCCTCCAGGCAGCATAGCCAGCTCTCCAGAGCATGACTTAGGAACTACCAGGACTCAGATGCTGAGGATGCTGAGTTCCTCCCTGTATGGGAAGCAGCTCCTTATCCCTATCAGAAAACAAAACAAAACAATGATATTGTTCAATTGGTGGAGCTGCTGTCAGAAGATTCCTTTTTGATAAAGGAGCCAGGCACATGGAAAAGGTTGATAAGCCCTCTTTTATCATTGGATTTGGAGCTCCATTGTGATCTCACTGTGGAGCAAAAGGATAGTCATTTACACCATCAATATAGAGGCTAGATTACCTTGATTTGCATCGCTCAGCAACTGTGTGATCTCAGAGATGTCACTGAAATTCTGTGCTCCCTCTTAATACTAGGTATGATAAAAATTAATTCCTACTTTTCTCAACACCATGTCAAATGCCTAACAGAAACAGCCTGAGAATTTAACATTGGTTCATTAATTCGGAGGAAACAGCCCATCATTTCTGGGAAGGTATGGTACCTAGAATAGGCTGGTGTAAGGTATAAGGAAATTGAAGCTTCTCACATGGTGCCAAACAGGAAACAGGAATGGGTGTAAGCAGGGCTAGGCTTTTATCTTCAGGGCCCATCCCCCATGGTCTCTATTAGCTAGGCCTTCTGTCTCAAAGATGACATGATCTCCCAAAAACATCACCACCAGTTGAGGACCAAGTGTTCCAACACATGAGTGTGGGAGGGTATGGCAGTTTGCTTTCTATTACTATAATGAACACAACCAAAAGAAACTTGGGGAGGAGAGGGTTTATCTCAGTTTACATGTTCTGATTACAGTCTATCATGAAGGGAAGTTAGGGCATGAACTCAAGTCAGGAACTTGGACCAGGAGCTAATGCAGAGGCCATGGGAGTGCTGCTTACTGGCTTGCTTATCCTGGCTTTCTCAGCCTACTAGACTACCTGTCTAGGGATAGCATCACCCACCGAGGACTGGACCCCTGCAGGTGCTCACATGTGTTTATCCAGAATGTCCCAATGACTGAAGCTCTTTTGATTAGGTTACATGTAAAAACGAGGAAGTCATCCCCCCCCCAACACACACACTGCTTTCTGACATCATTTAAGAAACAACACTGCACACCTTTTTGACCACATCTTTATCTCTTGGCTCCAGACATCTGCCACCCCTGTTGACCTACTGTTTTCTGATGACAGATCCAGTCACTCAGGCATGACACAGTTTGGAAAAATGTCAGTTAGTCCTGTCTGCAATCCACTGGATCCTTGCAGGGATCTTGTCACACGTCTGACACCACCAACAGGCTCCTCTGTCTCTCTTCCCTGCTTCTCTACAGATGAGCATCTAAGGCCATTAGCTTCTTCAGCAGGCTACACAATGGATAAACAACTTCATGTCCCCCAGCCTTCCCAGTGTCCTCTAAAGGTGCATCCCCTTGGGACACCTTGCTTGTTTACAGCCTGGCTCCCTTTGCCTGCAGGGTTTAACCCTTGGGGCCCAGGCCTCAAATATCTCCTTTCACCAGCCACCCTACATGTAATTGCCTATAGTAAACAATCAGACCCAACTCCTGCTGGGGTGTATCCTCCAGCAAAACTGAGTTAGGATGATATCCACAGAGAACCAGGCAAAGATAGAGGGAAGAGCATGCCTTGGAGGTTAACAGGCTGCAATCCAATGGGGCAGGGAGATTTTCAGGTGAGCACACCTAGGCAATGTGCCAAGTTACTTGGAAAGATGTGCAGTCAAATTAGTGCCTCTTTTTTCTTCTTTCCTTCCTTCCTTGCATCTGTTCTTTCAAAGCAGTCTCATGTAACCTAAGTTAGTCTCAAACCCTGTGTGCACTCAAGGATGATCTTGAACTTATGATTCTCTGATTATAGGCATGAATTGCCACATCCAGTTACATGGTACTGGGAAGGGAACTCGGGACTTCATGCATCCCATTCCATTAGACACCAGGGTCAGCTCTTGGGTAGATGAGAGACAAAGCTAATGGCTCTAAAACTGCAGATCTCAGTTCCAGGCTAGAAGGCCATCACTATGTATCCTTATCCATGGTAAATAGAAATGACTATTGGGGTGTTGACTTTTCTCTCAGGCAGTCATTGGCTTAGTTCAAGCCCACAGACTTAAGGTCTTCACCCAACCTGGAACTGCTAGATCTCCATTAGGAAGAGCCAATTGATGGATGTCCTTCTGTATATATGTTTCTCTTATTGGTTGATGAATAAAACACTGATTAGTCAATAGCCAGGCAGGAAGTATATGTGGAGCTACCAAATGAGGAGAATTCTGGGGAGAGAATTCAGAGAGTGAGCCATGTGGGAGATGCCATGTAGCTACCAGGAAGATAGGATGCCCTAGGCAGTCTCTGGTAAGATAAGGCCATGTAGAAATACATAGATTTAATAGTTATGGGTTAATAATTAAGAGAGAGCTAGCCAGTAAGAAGCCTGAGCCATCGGCCAAACAGTTTATAATTATATTTATAATTAATATAAGCATTAATGTGTTTGTTTGGGGCTGAAGGGTAGTGGGACCAGGTAGAACAGAAACTCCGTCTATAGCTAGTACTCTGAGTACTATATATGCATGATCACCATCCAGGGACTCAGCTTACTGGGGTGATTTAGTTTCATTTATGATGATGCAACAAAATACCCTGATTGAAAGAGAGGGGTCTAAGTCCTTCATTGTGCTCATCTTCATTTCTCCACCCGTAATATGTTTCAGGATCTGCTGCCTAGGGAATCATGCCCTCCACATTGGGCAGGTCTTCAATTAAGTCAACCACACAAACATGCCCGTAGGCAAACTTGACCTAGACAATCCCTCAGTGAAACACTCTACACAGGTGATCCAAGATTGTATCAAGTGGACAGTTAAATCTTACCATCACATGGGGAAGAAAAAAATGTGTATTAAACATCCAAGGGTGTTTTCTTGTTAGGATTCCCTAAAGGTACAGTGTAACAAGCACTTCAATAGCTTCTACCCTGAGTTTGCTGAAGTTACCTAGAGCTGTGTAAAGCCAGAGTGTCCAAACTGTAGTCCATTTATTTTGTGGGATATTGCAATATGGCATCACCATCTACGAAGTTTATGCCCCAAAGCCACACAATTGAGTTACACAAAACAACCAAACAAAA